CATGACAGTTTGAGATTTTTTACAGGACCTAATCATTGTTTTATCACAAGAAATGGTGCAAATTTTTGTAGTGCGTAGTTGCGGTAGTACGTGGTGTCCCGGAAGTGATTTAAGATTCCACGCGTAAGTGTTTATTTCGTGATTTCCGACATTGGATCATTGTAAACATATTTCTTTGTATTTTCACAGTAATTTCTTCCTAAAACGTTTTACCAGTATTTACACTTATTATTTAATGATACATGTGTCAAGAAATAAAGATTTTACATTGAGTTTCATTGATTTTGAGCAAATTTATATTTTTTGTTCATTTAGAAAGAGAGAGTCTGCCCACAGAGAGCGAAATAGTGATACATAGGTTGTGCTTCAAGTAGGTATTCGAAGTGTGGCCTCCATTTTATCTTTAGCTTCATGATTTTAATGACATTGACAGGACAGTATCCACTCATTCTATCGCTGAATTCGCTCGCTCATTCAATTAATCATTCATTCACTCAATTCTATTCGAAATTCCGAGTTAAAAAAATCTTGTTTCCGAAATATTCGGAAATAAAAGCAAATAAAAAAGCAATTTTAGAATAATATATTGCAAATTATGATGAAAAGGAATTTAATATGCTATTTGTGATACTGCTATTACAATACGACGCAGCAGGTTTATAATCGCAAGAGCTGAGGCGATCAACATTTCAACAAGTTAAATAGCAAAGATTTTGTATTTGTATTTAGGTTAAGCCGGGTTTTCACTCTTCAGCGCATTTTGCCATAAACACAAACGTCTTTCTTGTTGATTGTGTAAGCAAAACACGCGCTGCTGGAGACCACACGATTCTAATACGACTCATTTTCAAATATTTGACGGTTATCGCTATTACTCTGCTTAATCTGTGGTACTTCACTAGTTCACTCACTCACAGACAAAAAAAAAAGAAAGAAAGACATCAAAGAATAATTCGAATGAAAATATAGTTTAGTGTATTCGTGTAGAATTCGCAAGTAAAGAAATAATTATTAATAGTCATGTTAAAGGTATAGTTACCACTAATTATAGGTAATGTTTTAATCTGAAAAGTGAGTAGACAATACATTTTTATAACCTGTTTTTCAGGATAAGGGACAAGTCACCTTCGAAGAGAAATGGCCCAATATGCGACCCATAGTTCTAAAATTATTAAAACAAGAGCCGGTTACTCAACCAGAATGGCAAGATTTGTTTGGTGCTGTACATTCTGTTTGTTTGTGGGATGAAAGAGGCCCTTATAAATTGAGGGATGCCCTTCAACAAGATATAATGATGTACATTAAACAAGCCCAAGCTCGCGTTCTAGCTCAGCGGGAGGACCAGGCACTCTTGAAGGCCTACATTGCCGAGTGGGGCAAGTTCTTCACGCAATGTAACTACCTGCCAACACCATTTCGACAACTAGAGAACTCTATAAATAATATAAGCAAGGTTGCTAGTTCTAGTGCATCCAACTCACAGAAGAAAAACAATAATAATAATATTGAAGACAGTTTAGTGCGAAAACTTATGTTAGATTCTTGGAACCAGAGCATTTTTATGGATATCAAACAGAGACTACAAGATTCTGCTATGAAGTTAGTGCAGGCTGAACGAAATGGTGAATCATTTGATTCTCAACTGGTTATTGGAGTTAGAGAATCTTATGGTAAGTTATTAAGTACACGGTGAAATCCACTTATTATATTACTTTTATTGTACCATGCTTATAAGATGTGTTTTGGATTTCTTATTGTAGATACAAGAACCAATAGACTTAAAATTTCTTTTATTTTTCAGTTAATCTGTGCTCAAATGCTGAGGATAAACTACAAATATACAGAGACAACTTTGAAGCAGCATATATGCAAGCCACTGAAGAGTTTTATAAACTAAAAGCTAATGAACATTTGTTGTCTAATGGTGTGCAGTCTTACATGAAGTATGCAGATCAGAGGTTGAAAGAAGAAGAAGCCCGGGCCCACAGATACCTGGAGCCTGGCAGTGGCAGTGTTGCAGCACTCACGCAGTGCTGTGAGAAGGTGCTCATTGGTGAACACTTGCCTACTTTACTTGCAGAGAGTGCACCATTGATAAAAACTGGAGAAACTGAAAAACTTCAGCTCATGTTCCGTCTTCTGGACAGAGTACCTGAAGGAGTTACACCAATACTTAGAGATCTTGAAGCTCATATAGTTTCAGCAGGTCTAGCAGACATGGTGGCTTCAGCTGACATTATAACCACAGATTCAGAGAAATATGTTGAACGCTTATTAGAGCTTTTTAAAACTTTCAGTACATTAGTAAAAGATGCTTTCATGGATGATCCTCGATTTTTAACTGCCAGAGATAAAGCATTCAAGTGTGTTGTTAATGATACTACAGTCTTTAAACTGGAATTACCATCATCAGCACTTTTACGGGGTAGTAAAGGCACAGCTCCAGAAAGTAAATGTCCAGAACTTCTTGCAAACTACTGTGATATGTTGTTACGAAAAACACCACTAAGTAAACGTCTCACTAGTGAACAAATTGAGTACAGATTAAGAGATGTGTTGCTAGTTTTAAAATATATTGAAAATAAAGATGTCTTTATGCGTTTCCACAAAGCCCATTTGACCAGAAGGTTGATACTGGATTCGAGTGCTGATTCAGAAAAGGAGGAAGACATGGTTGAATGGCTTCGTGAAGTTGGCATGCCAGCTGATTATGTAAACAAACTGGCAAGAATGTTTCAAGATATTAAGGTTAGTGAGGATCTTAATACTCAATTCAGAGCAGACACTACTCGTCATGATGCAATCAATATAAAGATTCTCAATGCTGGAGCTTGGGCCCGTGGATCTGAAAGAGTAACTGTAAGTCTTCCTTTAGAATTAGAAGATTATATTCCAGAAGTTGAAGAATTTTATAAGAAAAAGCATTCTGGACGTAAATTGCAGTGGTACCATCACATGAGTAATGGCACAATCACATTTGCCAACTCTGTTGGAAGATTTGACTTAGATGTCACTACGTTTCAAATGGCTGTTTTGTTTGCTTGGAATCAAAGACCACTGGAAAAAATCAGCTATGAAAACTTAAGATTAGCTACAGAACTTCCAGACCCAGAGTTAAGACGAACTCTATGGTCGTTGGTAGCTTTTCCCAAACTCAAACGACAATTACTGTGTTATGAGCCTGTTGTTCAAAATCCTAAGGACTTCACTGAAAACACTACATTTTGGGTGAATCAGGAATTTGCACTTGTAAAAAATGGCAAACCACAACGGAGAGGGAAAATAAATTTAATTGGCAGACTTCAGTTAAGTACGGAGCGATCTCAGCTGGAAGATAACCATTCCATTGTTCAACTAAGAATTTTGAGGACTCAAGAAGCAATTATAAAGATACTAAAGATGAGAAAACGCATTACAAATACTGCTCTTCAGGTGAGATCATCTATCTGTTTTTTATCAACTTTTTCAACAGTTTGTGGGTAAACTGACTTTGATAACCATTTTGGAATTATTAAATTCAAGATATTTTAACCCCCGGCGCAAATAGAGGGGAAATAAGTTTGACATCTGTGTGATTTTAATAAATAAAAAGTAATTTTGCTATTGTAGAAGGTTGTGGTTAAAATTTGAACTTAGGTACTAATCAATTAATTATTTTGATTTTTATATTTCATTTCATTGGTATTTTTCAATATCTATTTGTGTTTTCAGAGCGAACTTGTGGAAATTTTGAAGAATATGTTTTTACCTTCCAAAAAGATGATAAAAGAACAATTGGAGTGGCTGATTGAACATAAATACATGCGTCGGGATGATGAAGATATCAACACTTTTATATATATGGCCTAATTATTCCTTATCACAAGTGTAAATGAAATCAAATAAATTATTTACTCAGAATACTATTTGATTTATATCCCATTAGCCAGTTGCAGGTCCCATGAGGCCATGACCCATCATGCTAATAGGAGGGCAGTAAAGTATGGGTTGGTTAGTGCTCTGCTATTTTAGGACCATACCACAAACCACAGGGCAGTAGACGCGAACAGGCGACATGTCTCATAATTACTACTATTTCAGCTTATTAGGAGCATCAGTGTGTAGGTTTGTTGTAGACACGACAAGAAGAGGAGAATCAGACCATGCGCGTAAAGCTAAGATGATAGAGAATAGTACTAATCGCACCCCACCCCCACAAGCCTAGATACCTACGCCAATGATTAGGAGTTACCGCAAATATGTGAGGAAAACATCCTTGTTATCCTGCAATTGCTTGAGTGACGCATTATTACTGTTATTTGTGAGGGACATTATTATTTATAGATATTATATTATATAATTATAGAAGAAGTAGGTAGGTACATAATAGATTTCTGTATTTGACCTTGGATTATATTGAATTTTATCAAAAGAAACAGTGGATCATACCAAATATTACAAGTTTCCTTGTTTAGAAATGAGAACAAACAATTTTTTTAACATAATTTTTATTAAATACATATGAGTAAAGTAAATAATTACATGTATGTATAAAAGTGTATTCGTATTAGGATTAATTTTTAGCTGGTTCGATGGTTTCACCTCCTTGAATCTGACCCCAGCCAATTAATCTGTGAAATACAAAATGAGTGTTAATGGTAGATATTAACAACCTGTGGGTATTGCAATAATTGCGGTATAAGACTGCTAGGCATTACTTTTCTAAAGATAAGATCATTATTCGTGTGAAATTCTAATGTATCTAAAACATCGTAAGACCATAATGTACTAAAACAGTAAGACGTCCTAAGACCATGCTTGATTATAATCAAGGTTAGCATTCGTCATAGAAAAAATAAATAGACGAGCATACTGAAATTAAGAATTGATTTAAATGGACATCAAGACAACTAATCAAACTGTTAGTAAAATAGGATTTAAATCGAATTACAGCTCAATTTGGTTTGTTTTTTCCCTGTGTGACAGATAACTAAAACTGTTTGCTTCAAAACACACATAAGGCTGCAAAAATTTATAGACATATCTTACCGCCAATGGTTTTCAACTCTTCTGCTAAGGGCTACTTTCTCTCCAATCTCAGTGCACACAGGGTTCGTAAGAGCGATTTTCGCTAAATCGGCTTTAGTAGCGATTACTCTGCCTCCGGTACTTAGGGAACCAATGTTCACTAACAACACCTGAAAGAAATGTTTGTGCTTAGAACAAATGCTATAATGACGTAACGTTCTGGGACTGTTTTATTTTTAATACCTGGTTTGTACCACATGAAGCAATAAAGATATTATGATTATTAATGTTACTAACCTACATGAATGTAAAAGTTATTCAAAACATTTTTTTTACTTCTTTTGTAACAGGCTTTTAAAACGCATTTTTTTCAATCAAATCAGCGAAAATGAGAAAATTGTTGACATTCATATGATATACAGTTTATTGTTTGAGAGAAAATACTGATGGTGTGGCATATAAAGGGTTTAGCAAGAGCATTTTAGTTCTCCATTATTTAAAACTAGCTGACCCGGCGAACTTTGTTCCGCCTTAATGGCAATCAATAACGGGATAAAAAGTATCCTATGTCCTTCTCCTGGCTCTAAACTACCTCCCTGACAATTTTCAGCTAAATCGGTTCAGCCGTTCTTGAGTTATAAGTGGAGTAACTAACACGACTTTCTTTTATATATATAGATTCTATTTGGAGTGCAATGAATGTAAGTGATAATAAAATAAAAATAAACAAACCTCGTTTTTAGTCAACTTCTGTACTTTCGCGGCCTTCTTGTCGCCCTCCGTGCGGACACCTAGCAGACGCTTGAGTAAGTAGTACGACACTTCGAGCTTCACAAAAATGCCGGGCAACGCACCGACCGCTCCAAGTACCTGCAAATTGATTTTAAAAATTTATCAAGATATCATGAGACGTTCAACATAAAGTAATATATTACACCTACTGTATTATTATTAACTTAAGTTTGTGAAGGAAAATAAATAAATATATGTCTTTTTTGTTCTGATTAAATATATTTATACATATTTTGCTCCACAATCAGCAAAATATCAGTATCTAGTCGGTTTACGGCGCGCGCGCATTGGTGACAAGTCATCCGTGCGCACGCGCTTTTTTACTTGGACAAGACGCTAGGTATTGATTTTTCGGAACATACCAAAAGGAGCATCGAGTAGGTAGTGCATTTACAAACGATCGTGAGCATGAGCATAAAAATTTTGATTAGTGTCTATGGTACAGCTTTTTTCCTTTGCCACTTTTTCCACGTAAATAGGCAAAGGAATGACTTGAGAGAGCCTTATGGTGCATGTTTACGAATGATCGTAACACGATCGTATCGCTAATCGATCACAACACTAACCTGTCCGACCAGACGGTCAGCGCGGCAGAGGGTAGGCTCGATCTTGGTGCCGACGCCGATGAGCCCGCCAGGCACGGCGTATTGCAGCTCATTTTGTTCCGCGAAGAGCGACACGATGCGCGAGAATATCGGCCGGCACGTCAGCTTGCCGTCCGCGTCTTTGCTCACCAGACCGGGTCTCACCTGGAAATAAGGATCAGTTTAGAACGACGCCTGAAAGCGAATAAAACAAAATAAACATAGTCACGATAGCCCAACGGTGAAGTGATCGGACTGGCCGACTCGAGATCCGAAGAACGCGGGTTCGAATCCCACCGCTGCTCGGCTATTGTGGTGAGCCCACTCGTAACACAAGCTTATTAAGCTTAACACGAGGGGCAAACGGGACTATTAGTAATTTGTGTAATACAAATTGGATTGCTAATAATCTTAAAAAAAAAAACGTTTAAAAGGATGGATGGACTTTTACATTTGCACGCTAAAATCAATGAACCGATTTAGATATTTGGTATTTGATAATTTGTGAAGAATTGGGAAAACATTGGGTACACTCGGACGAATGTCTACTGTCCAAATTAGGAAAACTTGCGGCTCCGTTTTAATGGGCTCCAGAGGACAGCGTCGAGGTCTTGGGCCCCGCCCTGATGGCGAGGAAGCTCTATTTAACCCACTGGCCGATGGGGAAAGCCTAACCTACCCTCTAAAATTCGACGGTGACCTCTGGAGTCCAAAAGAATAGGCAAATGCAATACAGTTTCCGACGAAAAAAAGGAAAAACATTTTCTTCAGGTTATTAGGAGGGTTAATGAATTCGGTGATAGATTGAAAACTCACGGGCAAAAAATAATCTATGGTAAGGGCTATACTTACTTCAATTTCCATGCCAACAGTGAGCACTCCTTGCAGGATGGAGCCGCCAGCGACGCCACCGCGGAGGTCGTCGACCTCGCAGCCCGGCTTGTTGACGTCGAACGAACGGATCACGATCATGCGTGGCGGCGACGTGAAGTCTCTCAGAGGAACTGGGATCTTCTTTGTGATGTACTCGCATAGGACCTGGACGGATTTTCTATTGTAGTTACCTCAAAACTAGCGTTGACTTGAACATATCATATGCATGAAAGTTCAAACTCAATCATAGCTGGCCAACTTTAAAAATTAGTCCTAATTGAAGGGGAAAAAATAAAGTATTTTAGTAAGCCTTCATAGCCAAGCTCTTTTGCATTATATTTAAGCCCAAAAAACTAACTTTAAAGTAGTAAAAAAGTCAATTTTGCAGTGGCACCTTTCGATTTTAACCTTGAATCTATTTTTGAAAGTAGAGTACTACTTGAAGGTTGTTTCATCATAATATTGTACCATAAAATATGTTAAAAGACTCGACAATACCTCAATAAAATCAATGATAAATAAGTTTCATTACCTCAATATTATATTTCAGCTGAGCAGAGATGGGTATAATAGGCGCGCCCTCAGCGACCGTGCCCTGCACGAATTTGACTATCTGCTCATGTTGCTCCTTCGCCTGGCCTTCCTTCACCAAGTCTATTTTGTTCTGGAGGATGAGTATGTACTTCAGTTTCATAATCTCGATCGCAGCCAAATGTTCACTTGTCTGAGGCTGTGGGCAGGATTCGTTGCCTGGTGACGAAAATTATGTTGCACGATTTAGATAATGTAAAAATCCTGTAAAAATTACATTACATAGTATAAGATAAATCTTATAAACTGGTAGAAACAATGGCTAGCCAAGTATTCGCGTATACCACATCTCAGTGCTTTTTGGCATAGTTGCTTTGCTGTAGCCCGAATGTTTCAAAATCAAAATTTTCTTTATTTGTTTAGACTAATTAAGTTAGTACTTGCAAATCGTCAAATGCTCTTAAGGAGCCTATACATGTCTCATTCTTTTTTTGCCCTACCAGCGCTTCGAGATAAACATTTGGTAAGTGCTGAGAAGAAGCGCCGCAACAAACTCAGTCACCACTGTCTGCCGGTTTAAAAATATAAAAAAGTAGGACGTTACAATACATTCAGAAGCAAGTTACTTACCACGCGCTCCCGTTGATAGAAGGTGGCCTTTAAGACGCCCATCTAGCACGAGACCGCGTGTTATCGCGATGTGTGTGGCCCAGGGGTTAAAAAACGCTAGTTTTACTGTTGTATTGGTTCAGTCAGAAATCCGACAGCCTTCGGTCGAGCTTGTATCTTTACACAGTGGTTCTTCTAACGGCGATACATCCAACTTTGCCCTACCATCGGAAGGTAAAAAAGCTGTGTATACCTACTCTGCCTTTGTAAAGGCTTACGAAGGCAGTGCTGGTTGGTAGAGTAGCACAAATGGCCTCTTGTGCAGCTTCAGACAGTTATGGCCCGACCAAAGACGAACATGATAGAAGTTATTAATACGAACTGCTTTCCAGACAAGCTGTTGGAATATATTTACATAGTATATCCTGACTTACCGGCAATAAGCAGAAGCGCGGCGTCCATAACCGCGGCTCCGTTAAGCATGGTGGCCATAAGGATGTCGTGCCCAGGGCAGTCCACGAAGCTCACATGGCGCACCAACTGGAAGCGCCCGGTACAAGCGGTGCGGAGACAGGGGAAGCTGTCATCCTTCGACGAACCGCCCGAGATGAAGCTCGTGGGCCGCGGGCACTTCGGGTTGTCGCATTTGTAGATCTTTGCGTTCGCGTAACCTGGACATCGACTTGTGAGATCAGTGAAGACAGCGGGTATTTTATTAATAATTAAATTTTATTTTTATTCCCGTAAAAAATTAGGACAACGGGAATAAACTGAATATGCTGCACATGAAGCTTAGAGATCTTATGTTTTGTACACAAAGATATCAGGATTTTGAATCGTTTAACACTGGAATCTTAACTATGTAAATTAGGCGTGATTTTGCAACTACAATGTGTAGTCTGATGTGCTTTCTACTGTAGGTAGGTACTTACGTAAAAGTGACATATTTTAAGTTATGTATTGTCATATCATAAACATCCAAGATTATTATCGTGTTGTTGTGAAATTTCATTTCTTTTTGCAGGGAATAAAAGAGGTACTGTATGAGTAAACACAAGAATTGTGTGCATCTGAACCATTTTATTCTTAATAATAAACTTAGACTATAATATACCTAACTACTTACAACTGCATAGTTCGTCAACTTCAATACAACATTTATCAAAACTAGTAAAAATCTTAACACAAATATATCAATACTTTTTCAAGGCCACCAATTGGAAGGATAAGTTTTAAATGTCGACATAATTATAAAAAAATACTATAAGTTAATGTTCTTCTACCAAGTTCAGCACCTTTTTAAATTTCGATATAAAATTATGTGTTACAACTACAATATTTGGATTACCTATGAATATTTTGCATGCTCATATAAAATCTATTTAAGGTTATTGTGATTATTTAAAGAAAGGAAGGATATTATATTACAAAAAGAATGACAGACAGATTTCTTGGTTGCATATTACATTGAATACTGTAATAAATTGTTTGAGTATTTTATTAAAATATTTCATTGAGTTAATCATCAACATAATTTATAGTGAAACCCATAGGCGACATAAAACATCAGAATACTAATGAAATCAGACCACAAAATATCAAAACAGTTTATAAAAAGAGATTCATATGGAATTTGTAAATCATGAGGAATATTAAAAATTCCATTACTTTAACAGTGCAATTAAACGTCATAAAAGTATTTTTCAGTCTATCCTAAACAGTAAAGAATAACAGTATTTAAAATACATTCATACATACAGTACTCTTTGTATATTAAAACTAAGAAAGTATTTAGCTTTGCTGTATTTATTTCTAGTGTATCAAAACAAATATTTTCTGCAATTGATTGCTCCACACTTGCATTCAGTACGATTTCTAAGATTAGCCATATTTTCTTGTTGCATTTCAAATCTTGATTTAATGGGTGAAGCTGGAGAGTTGGGTGTCCCTGCTTCAGAGCCATTAGGAATACTGACACTATCACAGTCGGAACTTGTAGCATTATTCTCTGTTTTTGTTGTGGTACTACTTGTGTCATCACTATCTGATGATTTTTGTAAATAATCAAAACAAATTTCTTCCCCTATTTCAATGTCGCGTGTCGCAAACAAAGCTATCATCGGCAGATTAGGGTCCAAACAGTCTGCCCAGACGGCCCACACTCCCAGATTTGGATCACAGGAGTGATTTATAAAGTGAGATACACTTCCTAAATGTCCAGCATCAACCGTATACGGATTCTCGACAGAATTAAAATCTAAATCAAACAGATATGTTAGTCCTTTTGCATCATACTCTCTTCCCCGTTTCTCAGCTTCTTCAAAAGTAATAATTTCCCCAACATATTGACAAACAAACTGTCCCTGTCTGATTTTCTGCTCGCTTTTTACACCCCAACCACAGCCATTAGCTGTTCTAAAAATGCAAAGTTTCACATTACGGCCGCTTTGTACAACACGATTGCTACATTCAGAGGAACATTTACAAGTCTTGTTACATTCATAAATTGGAGTACCAGATGCCACCCGCAGTCTTTTATTAACGGTGTAAGCAAATAAGCCGCCCTGCATACCACAGCAGGACTTAGAACGACAGTTGCAAGATGTACAATCACATCCAATAGGTGGATCGTCTGGTACCGTTACTCCTACACCAGGAATACAATCATTTATATAAGTGAAATTTGTTGGTGGACCAGCCAGGTCAACATCATTAATGACTGTTAATTTCATTTTAGATTTATCAACTTGGTTCACATGGTCCTCCCAATCTTTCAAAGCCATTAATTGACGACTACGTCTTCTGGCTAATACATACAATTGTAAAACATCACGAGCTTCTTGGACAAGTTCTGGGCCATAATGCTCATTTTCTTCAGTGAGTATAACCATTGACAGTAACTTAATCAAGAGTTTTTCTTTCAATTTGCACACATCTATATCTTCAAGCTCATGCAATCTTTTTGCAAGGTTATCATCACTTAAAAGGTCACCAAATGCAATTTCTTCTTTGAGTTTTTCAAATTGTTCGCAATACTCAAATTCTTTGTTCACTAAAAATGTTTGTAATAATGATGGGCAGTTATCAAGATGTTCCAGAGGTTCCCATGTGTTGGCACTATTAGACCAACCTTTCCATTTTATGTAAAAGAATGGCTTTCCCTCATAAAATTTAAAATCTAGAATTTTTTCTATGATATATTCTTCAGTTTCTCTCTTTTTGTTTTTCTTTTGTTTCTTTGCAGCTGGAGCTTCCGCCTCTTCATCAGGATCAAGAGAAAAATTTCTTTTGCGTGATTTTCTGTATTTTTCCAAGAACATGTTTTCATCTCTCTCTTCTGCCATTTCTTGATACATTCTTACTACTGAGTCCGACACGCGCTCTGCAACATACCATGTGTATTTGAGTTAAGACAAGTTCATTAAAATATTTTTGATTGACAATAAAAGATATTCAGAAAATATAATTTTGACATTTACTTTTTTCACATGGTACATTACAAAGCAGCTGTGTTTCAGTAATTTATTTAGATCAATCAATATTTTATCCATTCTATGTTTATCGGAAATAATAAACATTTAATTATAGCTACTTTGTCCAATTAAATTTATATTAGGTTGTATTTATTTTAAATTATGCTTGTGATTTAACATTTTTTGAAAGTTATATCAAAATAAGATACAGTGTAAAAATATTTAATACATTTATTAAACAGTTGTCAGAATATTTAAGCAGAATTGGCTAGAGGTTAGCTTATTTGAAACTGACTTTGCACAGCAATCTATAATTATATATATTTACTGGTATTAACCAATAAAGGTATGAATGTATAATCATGGGATCAGGAAAGCAAGCAATGCTCAACAATAAATATTTTTAGTAAGGCATATAAAAAAATATTTTATTGTGTATGTCCTCTTACAAATGGTTTGCTTGCAGAATGCAGATACAATTAGATTTATTTTTATTCAGATGTATCACTGTTTGGCTTCTGACACAAAATAATGTTTGCATTTATATTATGGGAATTAATTATATTGTTTTGTAGTTCTAGGTATTTTAATATTATACAATATTCGTTCGTTCGTTCGTTTCAGCCAAATGACGTCCAATACAATATTATTTGTCATAAAAGTAATTAATATTTCTCAAATTATTCTGTAATATACATAAACACTCACCTAACTTGATAGTGATATTCCTTTCCAGCTCGTTCTTGAACCTGACAGTTTGTACTCCTGAAATTGCCTTCACAACTGTCGATTTTCCATGAGCTACATGGCCAATGGTTCCAATGTTAATAGTTGCCTGCCTTGATATCACTTCGGGTGATAAAGCCGACAGTTTTGTGACATCCTAAAATATAAACAATAATTAGCCTTAAACAAGAGGACTGTAATTATTGTGCAACCATATTAATTTGGTATGTGAAGAGTGCAAGATTCTTTGGGAGGTTATGACTACATAAAAGTTAAATTCTATGAAGTAAAAATACAAACAAAACTATTTTTATAAGTACTGTAGTATGAAATTTACTAAATTCATTCAGAATAATCGTGGTGGTAAATAAATTCACCATACTTACCAATTTGGTTAGATCTTGCTGATGCAAGTTTGACTGAGCGCTTCGACCCTCACTTGAAGCCATGATTGTAAATCTTTTGCAAGAATGATTGTATTATTTAGTTGTTATTTAATTAGTATTTTCGTAAAACAACACTGCTTCTTGCACAAAGCCTGGTATTTTTTAGCAAACGTAATAATTCCAGGGGCATGAGAGCGTGCCGCGTTTTAAAACTAGTGATGTAAAAGTTGTCAAAAAGTATAATCTTAGAATCGACTATTTACCGGTTTTCTGATTATATCACGCATCATACAATATTTGACAAATAGATTGAAACCCAAAGCCGTGTACTTATTAAAAAAAAGATGTCACATTTAGCAGCTGTCAAAATTTGTTTGTCAATTTTGTTGCAATCGGCAGCATCGGGGAAATCTTTTTTAAAATTTGCTCTTTAAAATAATTATCTCAAGCTCAAGCGTGGTATTGAAAGTTCATGTGCTTTATTATATAGTTCACTGCTCATTGGTTTATATAATGAAGAATGAAGATCTACAAGATCAAACTAAAAGGTTGCGGTTCAAGCCTGTAACCAATGTTCAGCACTTTTCCGAGTCAAACTTTGATTCAAAAAGCAAAGAAATGAAGAGCAAGGGTAAGGTCTTCGTTTTTTGTGGGCTCAGTTACCTATTTAATAAATTATAAACCAAATTTGAATTCTGAATTACAGAGGGGGAAAAATCTGCATCGCTTTTCGCCTTTTTACATGTGGAGCTCACTCGCGGTTACCTATTAGAACACGATGAGGAGAGGTTTTCGGCTAGACGAGAGAAAGTGTATTCTTTTATTAAAATCCCACAGGAATTAGAAAAGTTCATGGCATATGGTTTCTTTCAATGTGCTGACTCTTTGTTATTTGTTTACACTTTTCTGCCACTAAGATTTATGATGGCATTTTGGTCATTTTTTAACAGATTATTTAGAAAATGCTTTGGGTAAGTTTTTGATTGGACAATCATTCTGTTTTGTAGCTCATTACTGTCTCGACTTCTGTAATACATATTGTTGGAATTAATTGCTACAAGAATTATTTCTATAATATTTTTTAGGTTTTATTCTAACTCACGGAAAAACATATTAAAGCCAGCAGAGACATGTGACGCCTTGAAAGGTTTTATACTACTAGTGTGCAGTATTCTCATGTGCTATATTGATACCAATATGATGTATCATTTAGTCAAAAGTCAGAGTGTGATGAAGCTATATATTTTCTATAACATGCTGGAGGTTGGAGACAGACTGTTTTCTGCTTTTGGTCAGGATACCATTGATGCTCTCTTTTGGACAGCGACAGAACCTCGAGACAGAAGAAGAGAGCACTTGGGCTTAATACCCCATTTGTTGTTTGCAATGACTTATGTCTGTATCCTTTTAAAATACTGAATTATGGGTATTTTAGAATAAAGTAGAAGTGTCAATTTCAATGAACTTATCAATTTACTCAAAATAAACCAATCTAGTCTTAAATTAAACACAATATTTCTTAAAGTTTTTACATCATATTAAATCATTAAAATCATTGTTATAAATAAATAATTTTCTTAATATTAATCAGTTCTTCACAGCTTACTGGTGTTGTTTCAAGCAACAACATTGAATGTGGCATTTAATTCAAATAATAAGAGTCTGTTGATTATCATGATGTCTAACAATGTAAGTAAAATTTTTTACACAATACTTCTCAATTATTTTCATAATGAGATAGATATAGGATAAATAAAAACCTTAATTATTTACAGTTTGTTGAATTGAAAGGCAGTGTATTCAAGAAATTTGACAAGAACAACTTATTCCAAGTATCGTGCAGTGATGTAAGGGAACGGCTGCATTTGTCAGTCTTACTCTTCATAGTGGTGCTGCAGACTATGAAGGAGTACATGTGGCGGGAAGAACGGTTCTGGATCCTAGCCCCAGACTGTGTGCTTGTTCTAGCTTTTGAAGTCATCATAGACTGGGTGAAACATGCTTTTATTACAAGGTACATTACACACTTTATCTTATATTTTTTAACTATGTACGTTTTTCAGACTTGTAATAAAACTGATGATAACATTTTTCAAGGTGAGACATTAATATTGTGTGGTTTTCAACGTGTTAACTACAGTAATAAAATTGTTTTTATGTGTTTTGCATTCACTACCAGATTTTTTAAATGTTATGATGATTCTCAAAATTAACAATATTTTGTAGTATTTAATTGAACTTTTTCATTTACAGGTTTAATGAAATACCGTACGGCGTATATAGAGAGTATACCGTAAGCTTGGCGTACGACGTCGCTCAGACGCGGCAAAAGTATGCCTTCAGTGATCACTCTGATCTAGTGGCAAGAAGAATGGGATTCATTCCTTTGCCATTAGGAGTAGTCATCACTAGAGTCTTAGTTCATGCTGTCAAAGTGGATGGGTGACTATCATTATTATTATTATAATTTATAAGCAATTGTAAACCTTATTTACACTATTTGTAGAGTTGTGTGTTATGGAATAATTATGTTTTTATGTTTTTATTGATCAACAGGTTTGCAGCAATTTTCCTTATATTCATAGCATATTTGTGCCTATTGACTATAAGAGTTCTTGTATCCATCGTGATACTTGGTAAAGCATGTGATTTGATAACACAGCACCAGACAGAGAAAAATGAGAGTCACCACACTACACCTAAAAAGTAAGACTTTTTTGTACTGTTTGAGATTATGTAAAATCCCTTTTTTAAGGAGTACTTATTATAACACAACTCATTTTATCTTTATAGAGAACAAAAAGAAATAACGAAAGAAATAAACAATGCCCACAAAACACCGGACACAGAAGCAGCTCCAATCAAAAAGCCAGTTCAACTAAAGTTCCTCATACCAGAAGATGTTGTTTTGGTAACAAACATTTGTGATCATGACTACTTTGTAACAATGAAATCTATTCTTGATCTAGAATTTGATGCTATTTCTAATAAAATTCGATTATTATTTGTTTTACATATATTGAAAGCAGAAATTGCCCTCTCCTAAGAATCGAACTAGGGACCTCTGGGTCTTGTCACTATACCACAAAGAAGATAAGCTTCATCTATTGTCTGTGTCATTTTACCGACTTAACAAAAAAACTAAATAATTATTTTTGTTTGGGCAGAGTGAACCACTAGTGGACGCGTCGGTGGGTGCCGCCGCGATTTTCTCAAACAGCGCCATCGACCTCAATGGCGTGTGCTACCTCAACGACAAGATGACGGCGCAAGTCAAGCAGGAGAGCGGTGACTACGTGGAACCCGAACTGGTAAGCAGTTCAACAGATTGCTAGGATTTGGGAAGCCTAGTTTCCTAAAAAAACTTAATCCGTCAAATAAACATATTGTCAAAAATATTGGACACATTTTTTTGTTATTCAAACAAGTAATCATGAAGTTCGCGTGACGTCACAAAGTGCTACACTTTTAAGCACTCTTTGATGTCACGGGCTTCATTTTTTGAAAAAGTGAAAAATACGTGTCGAGTATTTTTTGACAAGTTAATTGACGGACTAATTTGAACTCTTCCTTTTTTACCCAGGAAACATCTCTATTTTATGCTATTATTGTTATGCTTTTTCTTCTACAAATACAGTTATTAATAGATTTGGTTTTGGTTGCTACTTACTTCAATTCACAAGCTTGTCAACAACTTTGCTTTAGCTAGAGTCAAGTTGGAGATAATAAAGAATAAATGCATGACCTAAGTCTGCCTGCTACATTGCTCGTTTAAATCGATTGTTTATTCCGAATATTGTGCTTCCGAAGCTTTCCAGTTTCCACTTACGAAAAATCAGATTGCGATCTTCTAGTTAGAATCTAATCAGATGAGGAACAAATGCAATAAGTGATTTTACACTCTATGTAAGTCCCACTTAGGAATCGAACCCAATATCTCCGAGTCGAGAACCTAACTCCACTGCGGTCCAGTCGGGACCTATAGGAGGGGTATTCTGAAAATGTTACTATTTCTTCATAGGTGGACGTCAGTCGAAGCGCGCCCGACATAAAGGCCGCCGCTGCCGCCGCGCCACCAGAAACCGTGGAGCGCCCCAACTCACCCGACTCCGAAGGACTCAAAAGGCGCTCCGAGTCCGAACCCAACTTAGTCAAAGTCGAGGAGCACTACGAGGAGGCTACCTAACACATCCTATGCTGTACGCTCCTTATTATTTATTATCTTTTTTACACCCTCTAGTCTGATTGACACTATGAGTGCTATCTGAGATTTGTGGATAATGTCTCTCTGTATAATATGGATGTGTGACGCGATTTGATTAAAAAGGAGACTTCAACGGTTCTATAAAATTTTTAGTTAATTTTTAGCTGTGCTATGGTGACAAGATGGTTACGCTTATAACTTTTCTGAACATAACGTTTTTAATTCTCTTCTGATTAGCACAATAATATTAATAATCGAGTATGTGCCTTTAATATTTATGCTTTCCAATCATAGATTGTGATAATAAGATAACCAGGTTAAGGCAAGGAAAGACATTAGCGATTACGATTTCTAGAATAATATTTACTTAATTCGATCTATAGTGGTTAAAAATTAGCAGCAGAATTTTTTACTTAAAATGTTTTTTAAAGTTCATATTGTGTAATTTTAAGTGTGTTTGAAGTCTCCAGGTCAACCATTATAAATTAAACTTACCTGTGGCATGACCTACTTTCAAAATGTAGGTTGACGTGTATCGATCTTTGGGCGCGACTATATTTCACGGTTCAGTCCTGCAGTTCGCGCCATGAGCGCTGCACTTTGCCATGACGGATCGCGTAACAACCGTAGACAATTCATTACATTTGGTCGTTTGTTCTTCCGCCGCCCGCCAAATTAAACGGCCTACTAACTTGTGTTAAATACCGTGCAAAATGTTTTAGTCAAAATAGTGTTGGTGACAAACGCGTAGATTTAAATGTAAGACTGAACATCGCTGGGTGCTTAGTGTAATTTGATTCCCGAACGAAATGAAAATATTAGTCAAGTTATTTATATGTTAGGTGTTTTTTGATGACGATCAGATTTTTTATTTATTTATTTTGTAGTTTATCATTCCAGTAGATTTTGTCTATGTCTGTTTATGGTAGGTACAGCAACAGCCGTAAGTAGGTCAACCTGCCACAGAATGATAAGTTCCCTTAATAGATTATGAATCTTATTTCTCTGATTTATGGTTTAAAATCGATTGAGGAACATTTTCTTTTTGGTTGACGTACTATCGGGGACTCGGACGCCTTGACACCTTAAGGGCCTAAATTGTTTGCACACACACGCTCGATTAAGCTACGCCCCCGTTCATTCATTTTTCGGGTCTAAGCAGCGTCGGCGCACCACTGTAGATGTTTGCCCTAGCAAACCAAGCTCTATGTAAATCGTTTAAGATTGAGTTTTGGTTACCCGCATCCGTAGCGCTCGTTTGGCAACGCCGCATTTTCTCGTTTGGCAACGTCGCATTTTAGTCAATTTGAAACCCAATAAAGAATCGCTACAAAATATTATATTGGGCTTCGTGTAAAATATGAACTAGCGATTGCCCGCTCGGGTCACAAAATTGCTATCGCACATTCCGAGGTAGGTAACTGTGCAATTTTCCGAGAAAAAAGTAGCCCTTTCTATAATTATTGTTGATATTAAGAGTGTAAATCTCATGATATTAGTTTAGCTAGTTAAGGCGAGAAATGCAAAATCATACAGTTACTTTCGAAATTAACTTATTTAATAGGTATTTAATTTATTCGGAACTCAATTGTTTTGTTTAATTTATAAACAATATGTTATTGAATTAATTAGTAAAGAGTTAAGAAATATTTGTGGCTTAAAAACAATTATTGTAAGATCTGGCTACATAATAACTTACTTAAATCCTTGAATGTAAATAAAAACCTATAATAGGTTTCTATTTATTTTTAATACATTAGCAACTTTTATTTTCCGTTTAAAAGAAACACTTATCTACGTTATTACAATTTAATACAAATATTGCACTAGGTAGCAACGATCCAGGTAATTGGTTATATAAATATTATAAAATTAAGTTAGTTTTATTTCAAATTCAATTTTTTATTGCACATTAAGTGTCTTTACACAAGGTCTTAAATCAATAACAATTAAACTTCAAACTAAATAATACTTAAACAGTTAACAATGTATAGATAAGTTTGTAAGTAAATATAAGAATTAAGAATTATTTTGAGAGGCAATGGTTCAGTAATCGCGCGGAGGTCAATAAAAAGGCAATCAAACAGTCCAATTACTAGCACGACGTCAACACAAAACAAAATCAATCGGTTAGGGATCACAAAACTTCACAAAAAAACAAAGGAGAGAATATGTCGACAGTTCGCCAAAACAAAAAGCAGACAGACCTCGTATAAAAATACAATATTAAAAAAATACATATCTGTTTGTTTGTAACCAAATTCTATTATTAAAATTCTAAGGCTGAGTTGCACCATCTTAATTTAACTTTGACAAACGTCAAAAATCTGTCAAACTCCATACAAAAAGCACCGGTTACCGTTATAGTTACGGTCAAAGTTAGGTGGTGCAACTCAGCCTAAAACTAAGAAAGATTGAAGAAAAAGAACATTTCGTTTTAAACCTTAACCGTATGACAATAAAGAGCACAATGGTATTTCGTATTGCAACCTAAGCCCTGATTGTCTCTTATTGGTCGTAGTAAAAATATAGTAAAATGCGTAACCAATTAGAGACGGGGTGAGCACGTGACCGGAGCGATGCGCTTACGCTAAAATTTCTACAAAGTGGTCAGGCGGAAGAGTCCCCGATAGTACGTGCGGGATATTGGATGATTCGAGCGTTATTAAATTAAAAGTTAAAAGCAAAAAAATCGAAAGTTAAGAAATGATCTTTGGTTTAACGAAATGTTAATATCATTTACGCAAGTCTAAAATAATAATAACATTTAATTGTTGTATTCTTGTTATGTTCCTACTTTATAATGCCTACTGAATTTAATTTCAAAGAACATTTTAAAATTTTATTTGTATATTTACGGTTTCCGGATTGTTACATATTTTTATAAATAAATAGCATATTTTCTTCATGCTTGCTTTACTGTTTTATGATATAGAGTTTAATTATTTATAAAACATAAATATCAAACGAAGATAGTTGTTTTATAAAAATACGTTTTGAACGTAAAAATATAACAACGTAGAAATATTTTATTTATAAGTATTTAAGTATAGCTTACGTATATTTTAATAAATTGTCTTGTATTAAAATATTATAACTGCATATTATTCTCTAGAAATATCGGAGTGAGAATTTTCCTTTTATCTCTATATGATTTTTCGTTTTACATTATTAAAAGGTTTTTTGTTAAATATTTTTTTAATTTTTCAATTAAATTAGTCCTTTCCATGAAATAAGGTCGACATTTGCTTTGGTTTTTGTAATCACAATTTATTAATGGACCATTATAAAACGTGCGAGGCCGAGATGTAAATGTAAAACATAAAAAAGTAAAAAAACTCATAAAACTCATTTATTTTTGCAAATAGGCTTTTAAAAAGCACTTTTACACGTCCCAATATTAACCCTACCACTGCTTCGGGACAAAAAAAATTAGCAAAATAGCGCCACCTAGTGGCTTTTGCTCACAACATACGAACGTGAGCGTAGAGTTGGGTTGAGTAATTTGTAGAGCCTGTTTTCGCGAAGACTTATAACATTCACGACAGATGGCGCTACACGTTTTGTAATGAAAATATTTACGGAGAGACTATGGTTAATCAACCTTGAACTTAGTTTAATTGATCTTAAATTCAAGTCGAGACTAAGATTTAATCATTTACTAATGCTTTATATTGCATTATATTTTTTTTATTTAATTCTAATAGCGTGAAATATTTCACACATTGATAAAAAGGTTAAGTTTATAAGTTATTTAATCTTTTTACACAGGACAACATGAAGTTTAGGTAGTATTAATCTTAAATTATTTCAGTTACATATAGGTATCTTATTTACAGCATAATTGACCCTTTGGTCTAGTTCCAAATACAAAGTGTAGAAAAACAGATTTTACATTTATTTACAACTTATTTTTTGCGATAAAAATGCATCTTTTAGCTTATTATAATAGGTAATTACTTTAGTACATAAAACTAGATAACATTTATTTCCTTCATCCTTGTAGGTACATATACATTTGTCTGTTTGCTTGCACTAAACAGAACTTGCGTTCATGTGTCAGTTCAATGGATTTAATTTGTACTGAAAAACTTAAATGTCAGTAATTATAATAGAGTTAACTCTACTATTTCTGAAATATGGGGAGACAAACAATAATCTTGACTGTTGCATGGAATATTTTTCTGTGTAAGAATATGTGAATGTCGTGTGCCAATATTCATTTGTCCGTCTAATTTTAACTGATAGTGGCAAGCAGTTGCCAAGTGTTTCTGGGTTTTAAGTAAATAACAGTTCCCAAATATTTTTACTACTAACACTTGTTTTTAGTTATCTAAAAGTCTTATAAATTGTATATTTTTATAAAATCTGTGAGTTTACATTATATCAAGTAGAAATTCACAGAGGTTGAGATACCTCTTTCTTTAACTTTGAGATCTGTTATTAATGTAGGTTCAGGATACTATTTTGCGTACTTTAAATCGCAATAAAAATATTTTTCATATAATTACTTATGAGGAAAGTAAATTCAGGGCAAAAAATCTTTCTTTTCACTTTTTGTGATCTTTCAGATTTTGTAAAACTATTATTATTGATGATAAAATTTCTGAAGATAGTGATTTAAATAGGTAGCTTGATTTAAATTCGAATTGAGAAGTCTTGTTACCTTTACTTACTCAGCTACAAGGTTTCGTAGGAACAGGTTATGTAAAAGTAAACCACAAAGTTCAAGTTTTCAACAATTTGTATTTTCGCACCTTAGGTGGTTTCATATTAAATAAAAATTTATTTTCTCTTATATACACATTAAATCCAAATTTAGTCAGAGTGTATTTACAAATATATTAAATAGAATTTAGTAAAAATTAGTGAGATTTAACAATACCTACGTACTTAAGACTATTTATATTTTAGAACATCAACAACATCTTTCACTCTGGTGAAATACATAAGAGCTTAAATTAATAACCATACTTACACAAAATTCGTAAAGATTTCGTACCCATTCACTAGGTATCTCGTGAACACCACAATAGTTCATCGTTTACGTTTGAAAATTTTCTAAGTTCTAGGAATCAAATTGAAATAGTGATGCGTATCACCGAGGGTTGTAACAGAAGTCAACAATGTAAAGTCTCTCCAACCGCGGCTCGGCGCAACTCGTAGCCTACTACACAAACGCCAACATCAATAACGTTAACGCGTTGCAACATTACGTAAAGTGTGTAAGAATTTAGTCTTTTCCGTTACAATTGTCACTCGTTTGACTAACATGATTACTCTTTTATTTAAAATCTATCTACGCTAGCCTTGTCTACCGGAGACCTCGTCTCGTCATAACAGTAAAACATTATAACTCGTCCACCTCGTGTGATGCGCGGTCTGGGGGGCTCCGGGCTCCGGGCTCCGGTGACGATTGGAGGCGCAAGAGTTAGTAATATTATTGTCAGATATCCTAAATTCATAACGACCGAAAATTTTGAAAGGCCCACCCTGTAGTGTTCTAATCACTGTAGTCGGTGACAGGTTACATTTTAATACCAAAATTTTACTTCACTTGTTGCGGTTGCGCTAATTTCTTTTCATGAAACATTACACTTATTCTAAAGTAAACAATGAGTAACAAGTGATTCACACGAAATAAGTGATTTACAATAGTATAGGTATCATAAGTTGAAGACATTTTAATAACACGTCTATAATTATGTATTTAAAAAGAACTTCTATTTGTGCTGAATTTTGTACTAATGACGAAAAATTAAATCATAGCTAATTATATTACATTAGGTTGGTAGCTACAACAATGTGAATTTACTTTACTGGCATCATAAGGGCTCCCTCCACGGCGTGCTGTGTGTAAAATAGTAAATACGGTGCGGTCGCGGCCGCGGCCCGCCAGTCATCTAAAGTCTGGATCCCTGTTATCGTTGTCAGCCGCCGCGCAAGGCGCCCGCTAATAACTATCGTACCAGTCATCTCAGCAGTCAACACAGACATCATCACAGTAACTGAATCCTAACATTTTAGAAACGAATCTTACGCGTAATACAATTATACCTATACAAAAACTTATGAGTATTATAAATTAGGGGCCCTCTCTATAGGTACTTGAAATAATTAATAATGATTAAGAGATCATAATTTACCGCCATACACTATTTACTAGATTAGTCTATTATAATACGCACATTATAAAAATATATGCCACTGGGGAAACGCAATAGTGAAAGATCAAAGTAACGAGTGCGATGCAAGTAATAACACATTATTGTGAGGCAGCCGAAGGACAGGGGACTACAGATCCATTACAATACAACTCGTCTAAACAAGCAGAATTGAGCAAATTTTGTTAAATTAAAATCGTTTGAGCAAGAGAAGACCGTGACAGTACTGTCGAAAAATAATTTTAAATAAATAGAGATTTCACGTAAATATTATAAAGGTACATAATTATAAAACAAACAATAGTCGACATTCTCACGTTCATATCATCTTCGACTAGAAATATAAAACAAAATAATATAGTTATCACTTATTTAGCAGTCGTGTTACACTTAGTATAAGTATATAAATAAAAATTGCAGTGGCACGTTGTAAAGTTAAATTAATGGCACAGTTTCACGTTAGTTTTGTAAAGTATAAGAATATTAATATAACTACAATAGTTAGAGTGGTCTCTGCTGAAGAAACTTTTACCATTACACAATTTAATTTTAATCATATGTAGATATAACTAAACGTAGAGAAACAGCGTTAGATCTACTTATGATATGCGGTAAAGGTCTCCTCGCACACCATCCATAGGCTCATTGTATCACTTCCTACGATCACTTCAATGCACACTCATCAAACTTGAACGTATCGGGCATACACCAACATTAATGCAAGAAATATTTAAGCTTAGCTACAGAACTACCGCCAGATAGAAAGATATGTGTTAACACTACGTCGAGAACGACAGCGACGCAAAAACAACGCCTGCGCCTGCGCGCACTGACGCGGATCCCGACGCGTTCACTGGACACTTAGGCCATATCGGTTCGCATCTACGCTTGTTCCCAGTCGAGTTCAATCAATTAGTCTACCTATCTAAATAAATACATCGAGCTCATCTCCCATCACGGTAATTACAAATACGTATAAAAAGATATATATTATATAAATTTCAGTGAATTTACAAATGTAGAGTTAATAAAGCTTCGTTAAAGACAATTTTTTACACCTAAGCGATGAAATTATTTTATAACTTCAACGTGAAAATATAAAAGTTCATTGTTCTTCGGACGCGGGTGTCCAGGGCGACGCGGGCGAGCCGCTAGAACGCGAGGAATCGGACCCGGGCGAGGGCGAGGGCGAGGGCGAGGGCGAGGGCGCGGGCGCGGTCGCGGTCGCGGGCGCGAAGGGCTAGAGCGAGCCGTGCGAGTGCGGGTCGTGGTGGTGCGGCCCGCCGCCGCGCTCGCGCTTCAGCCGCTGCTTCAGGTGCACCTTCGCGTGCCGCTTCTTCTCGTCCGACCTCGCGAACTTCCGCCCGCAAATATCACACGCGAACGGTTTTTCACCCGTATGCGTCCGCACGTGGGTCGTCAGGTGGTCCGATCTGCTGAATGAGCGCATGCAGATGCGGCACTGGAACGGCTTCTGGCCCGTGTGGATGCGAATGTGCCTCGTCAGTTCGTCCGATCGGGAGAAGCGGCGGTCGCAGCCGTCGACGGGGCAAGCGTACGGCCTCTCGTGGACGGGGGTCTTGCTGGGCCGATTGGGGTACTTCCTCGGTTTGACGGCGACGAGCCTCAGCGGCTGCGTGCTCTGCTGGTACACCTGCGAGAGGATCTCGTGGCCCTTGCTCGTGGACGGGTTGTACTCCGCGAGCTGCACGGGCCGGTCGCCGACGGGGCTCGGGTAGGGCTCGCGCTTGGGCATGCCCGAGGGCCCCGGCGTGGGCTGCGGCGGCGCCACGTACTCCTGGTCCCAGGAGTGCTGCGGCTGCGGCTGCGGCTGCGGCGGCGGCGGGCGGTACTCGCAGTGCTGCGGCGGCGGGCAGGCCTGCGGCTGGCAGTAGGCGGGCTGGCAGTCGGGCGGCATGAGGTCGACGCGCTCCTCGTACTCCTGCTGGAAGTACTTGTCGACGCTGCCGGGGCCGGGCCCGGGCGGCAGCAGCCACTGCAGCGGCGGCGAGGGCGCGCGCTTGGCGCCGGCGGGCGGCCCGTACAGCGAGGCGCTGGCGCTGGACGCGTTGCTGGCGTCCTCGGCGCGCGCGCCCGGCGACAGCGACGCCTCGTGCTTGTGGCGCCGCGGCGAGCACACAAGTGATAACTCATCGCCAGGTAAAGTACCTGTAACAATGATATAACATTGTTAGTATTATTTATATTTAACGCATGTGGCTATGGTTTTTGCTTATCAAAGTTACAATAACGATAGCTTTAATTGCAAGCAATTATTTTCTAAGTGCTCTTGTATTCGATACCGTTTTATATTTGTTGCCAAAGCAAATGTAGAAACGAGTGCTTTAATTGCAATACATTTTTAAACTGCTTATCAAAATTACTTATAATGCTCAAATGAGAATTAGTCGTTACCTACTGAATTTCAATGAAATGGTAAATTCAGGTAGTTAAATCAAGTATTTTATATGCTTTTCAGAGTTAGTAACGTTATTAATTACAGAAATAATATGGTCCTTCCTTGTTTGTTAAATCTTGACAGTTAAATATAAAAAGTATGTTCGTAACGCGATCCGTTAAATTTAACATTACATGTGTTTGGGTACAAAAACGTTTGCTCTATTGCTACAAAAAGCATTGTTATTATTAAGCATACGTTTTCAGTGTTGTTATGAATGAAGCGTGATGTAGAGTCGCGGGCGGAAGGCTGATAGCTCGCAGGAAGCCGATAGGCTATCGCTGTATCTGGACGGCCACCAGTCGTCGGCCGTCACCTACTGTTTCAATCACACTCAATACGCACTTAACTCTATAAAACTGATTTTTATTTTATCGCTTCCTGTCTTTGCTTTTTTGCTAAATTAATTAGCGATTCGGTAAGAGCGCAGATTGTTTTAAATGGAAACTCAATATTTTGAGATTTTGAACCTACTTATTTAAGTTTTTCGGGTGCTTTCATGATGCGTTACTATTTGTTGTATTTAATTATTAATGTTCATTGTTCTGATTAGGAAGATTAAATGATCTTCTTAGATCATAAAAAGTAAGAAATTAAATTATTTAGGTTTTGCTAAATTCAATTAGCATTAAATTTCTAAATATAAAACAATAATAAAGTATTGTAATGAAAAAAATATTACCATTAAACTTTACAATGAGATAAATTAGAATTAAAAGTTTTGAGCTTTTGCATTTTATTTTGTAAAATAGTCTTAAAGTCAACTTCTTCAATCTCTGCAACATTTTAAATGTTTTTAAAACGGAAACAATATTATCTAATACTTTTTAAAATATTTACCCGTCAGGAACTATGAATGAACGTATCACAAAACCCGCACTTAGCACATAGCAGCATCCGTGTAACATTTAAGTTGGAAGTTGCAATGTAGAGACGGCAAATTCACAATGAATGCTCTATTCAGCTCCCGTATCGATCCGACCATATGACACGGGGCGCTGAACTTTCCTTTTCACTTTGAAACGAGCACTGAAACTTAATAGGCAACTTCTTTTTCCTGAATTGAAACTTCTCGACTTCCGAAAATGATTTCCTATAAATCGTAGCACTATGAACCCTAAAGAGCACGGACACGCGATTTGTGAAAAAAATCGCATTGTTTATTTACAACGTTATCGGTCGAGAGCCGGCGGGGGCGAGTCCCGCCTACAGGTCCCGTCGTGCGTAGAGACGGGGAGGCCGTGGCCGGAGCGGTTCGCACCTGAGATAGGTGGTGGCTCGAGCAGACTCGGGAAGAAGGCGGGAAGGTCCGAGGTGGTGACGGGCGTGTTGAGGTCGCTCGGCATGCCGCCCGTGGCGGGCGCCGGCGCCGGCTTCAGCGAGCAGTCGAAGCCGAGGGTGCCGACGTCGGAGAGCGACAGCAGGTGCGGCCCGACCGGGGGCTCGGCGTCCGTGCCCATCCCGTCCGGCACCACCTGCTCCTCGGCCCAAAGGCCGATCGGTATCACGAACAACGCCAGCGTGAAGACGGCCTCTCGCGCGGCCGGTGCGTTGGGGACTGGCGCCGCGCGACCCCGCGCCGCAGTTTTATCAATGGAGTCGCGGTCCCATATTCGGTAGCGGCGCGCGCAGCTCTGCCAATCGCACGGCGAGCTGCCCCCCCGAGGCTGACGTCACCGCCCGGCGCCGCCCACCGCCCGCGCCGCCCCCCCCGGCCGCCCGCCGCCCCCCGCCCGCGAAGCCTCCGTGCATCGCTTCGTTCCATTCAACAAAAGCGAGCGCGTGCCGGCCGGCCGGCATTCGTTCATAACAACGTTTGCTTTTTATGCACTTTGATGATGCGCTTTGCTTATTATTGTTGTACCAGTTTTATTTATGACCACTTATTAATAGCCATGCTTCAAAGTAGTAAGATATTATTTATATTATACGCGTACTAAATGTTTGTGAGCATTGTTATTAGTATTATGATGATACTGGTGATATTTTATAAGATTGGCTGGACTCTCGAAAAAAACTTTTCTTAAAAATATAATACATGGTATTCTTGACCTCACCCAATAAAGTTGTAAATGTTAGACACATTCTGTTCAGTATTCTTGTACAATACAATGTAGGTAAAATGTATTAATGGTTGATTGATTTTGTTTGAGTTACAGTTTTATTTGAGTTCGAATTTTAATTTTATAAAAGAAAGTTTCCGAAAAAAAATTCGGCTCTATCCTTTTTAATTCAAAAGCTACATAATTTACATGGTTTGGCGATTAAATTCGACGTAGGTAGCTCTATAAAATTATATAAGTAGGTAAATATTATTATAGGCTAATAAAGGACTTTTGACCTTTCAACTCATTACAACATAAAATCAGAAGAAGAAATAAAAATATTTTTCGTCTTATATTCATCGAAGTAAAGCTACAGCCTAATTGAAATCTACATATTGTATGTATCTACCTACGAGTTACCTACTTCAAAAAGTTACCATAATAACCAACCAAAGATTTTTTTAAATCATAGCAAGTCGTTTGAAATAGAAAACAAGTTGGCAATATTTGAGCTAAATGAACATTTCGTAAAGTTGTTTACTATTTAGTTTTCTATTTTAAATTAAAACATACTTTAAATTCCAAGCGCCACACTGTGTCTACTGTCTATACTCCTACTTGTTGTAAATGTATTTGTTTGTGTCAGGTGCACTGATTATGTATTTATGAGGGACTAATTGGCACACTGTGTTAACCGGTGGTTTACAGTAACCGCGCGGAGTGTAGGCTTCGCGAGTGGGCGGCCCTTGACAAGATCAAGGCAAGGCAATATAACGCTGACCAACATTTATTGCCCAACAGTTAACACCACTAAAACACGGACGATATATGACACTTTGAACGAATTACAATAAACATCTCACCTTAACGAACCAGTCAATCGCATTCGTTTGACTTGGAGCGGTTCAGGAAGTGAAGTGGATTTACATAATTTGCCAATTGCATTCGAAATAAGGTTCAGGTCCACATATCGGTAATTAAATTAACTTTAAAATATATTAATATGGTGATGTTGGGAATTAATTTTATCCAATTTTCTTTTTTGGGAAGATTGAGTATACCTACTTATTACTAGTCCTGCGCTACAGGACTAGTAATAAGTAGGTATACTCAATCTTCCCAATAATAAACAAGTTTTAAATGATTCTTGCAAGAAGAATCATTTAAAACTTGTTTATCTTAGTAAATCTTGTGTAACTTCAACACATGCACTTAAACGTGATAAAGTCAATGTGGAGTAATATGGAATTACCTACATGAAATATCTCATAATTTTATGATGCAAGTTAGAAGCGTCCTATTTGGGATATCCCAACCTTCAAAATGTGAATTCGTGCAAGAGTCTTGTCATCGCTAATTTATGCCTAAGGAAGGTTGATCAGCAAAAGTGGTTGAAATGCGACCAAAATTACTGGGAATACCGCAGCCACTTGGGTGATTGGAGGTTCCCAGGCGCCAGCACATGGCAAGGAGTCGTGCACCAGGCGGCAGGACAACGGCCTGCGCACGCGCTGCGACTGGCCGAGACACGCCGACGCCCGGCGGGCCCACATGCAGCCGCTAACCCAATTATCGCGTAACGGAGACGATAAAGAAAAATAACAAACCCACGATTTCACCGACGTCTAATTATAGCGCGCTATTTGTGAGTGCGCGGGCGCAAGCGGCATAGCGTGGCCGCGATGTCAGGGCTATTCCTGGCTGTCAGCTGACGCTCCCGCACCGTGCCCGCTCGTAAACACCACGCAACCGATTGACGTAAAATGCGAACAATCGAGTTTTCAGCAGGTGAATCACGAGATGAAAACGTCCCTGCGGGAACCGTTCCAAAATTAACTTCGCTGGTTTTGGTTCGGACTTCGGAGGCGGGGTTCTATTTCGACTCGTTACCTCAGTACTCGTTGTCTATTTTGGTTGCGAATCTATTTCGTTTCTTCGGGGTTATTCATACTTTGAACTTTGAAAGTAGTAAACAAGTATAATTAGCCCATAACGTGATCAGTTAGACTAGATGTTTCCGCATCTATTCATGAGACTTGAAATAGAAGAACTTGCGTCAAGAAATTCGGATGGCAATCAGAGGTCAGTTATCCCAGAAACGTTCGGTACAGTAAGTCAGGTACAAACATTCTCATAGCTGTAAAGGTAAGACCAGACCAACGCGTGCAGCCGGCGTGCACGATGACGATGGCGATGGCGACCAGACAGCGCGTATGAATTTGTAGCGATGTGTTCACATCAACGCGTCCTGTCATTGGTCGCGGCGATCTATGCAGCGTCTGCACGCAGCGATCAGCGATCATCGCGACATTTGTCACTGTGACGTTTCTGTTTTTTTAAATCGATGTAATAAATAGTAAGTAGGATCTGTTAAAAAGTTTTTACACAATTAAAAATGAATAAATTATTCGTAACATACCACTAGTCTGACCTACTTGAATGATAAAAAAGGTTTTAGAATAAAGTATCAATATCAGAATTTATTTTTATATAATAAACAAATTATTCTAGTTTTCTCGAAAACCTGCTTCTTCAACTTCATTAATAAAATTGGGATATTATCTGCAGAACAAAATAATTGAGAAGTACCTACATGTCTGCAGCTTTCTCAAAGGCCCTAGAGCAATTCTAAGTATGCCATAAATAAAAACCTAATTAATGTCATCAAACGGATCAGTCATTAATTTAGTGCCAATAAAAATACCTAGTTGATCAAAACTGATGTCTTTTTGTATTTTTGGGTTATTATTAAAGACAAAAAAGATATTTGGACTATTATGTACTCTGTGGTTTGGGTGCATAATGTAATTTCCTTTGCCTTAAAAAAAGTAAATGTCAAGATGACTGTTGCACCAAAAATGAAAATGAAAATTGATATTGATAGATGTTGTGTTGAGTTCTGTGTAGTTTTGTGCGATTTAACGATAAGAACGACAATGGTCAAATTTTTTCCCTCAAGGAAAAAGATGAATTGGTTATAATCTTACTTGCCCACAAGGATACTGTACGAGCACGTCAGCATCGACCGCGACCTACAACCAATGCCTACAACATGCTAGCCGACTGGCCCATGAACCCTGAACGAACGTGCACCGTAGGCACTCTACACCGACGGCACATTGGACTGGACACATTGAATTGTGTACATTATGTAAATCTTGTATACCTATAGCAATAGCATAACAGTAATAAACCAGATATCAACCGTCCGCGTTGTGTTTCATTTCCCCCACTGAGGCCAAGAAAGCCTTAGTGCAGTCCTCCTTCCTATCAAACCTTTCTTTAAATCTAATTAAAAGGTATTGTTAGGGCTCTAGGGACTACAAACGAAGCCAGAAATATAGCTTGGTTATGAGTAACCAATAGGTACCTACTACCTATACCGCATGTAATCCTGTCTCATTATATAATATATGGCCGCCTGAATAAACTTGAGTGAAAAAGTGTTTCCATTGTCTCAATTGCATCAAAAGCTCAAAACAAATCATTTAATTCAGTTTCCATTTTGCCGAATAGGCGTGATTGACAATATGCGTGACAGTTGTGGTGACAGTGACAACCTGCACGCGCAGTGATCGCCATCGCGGTCGCGGCAGTGTGAAACAACTTTTGCACGCGCAGTGGTCGCCATCGCCATCGCCATCGCTGCACGCGTTGGTTTGTCCGAACCTTAAGGTGAAGTGTCACGCTGTGTCACCGTGAGTGTACTCGTGCAATTTGTACAAACACACTCTTGTTATGAGTCGCGCAGCTTCCCACGGTCGGTGTTGCCGGCGCCTGCGACATTGTGGGTGCACGCGGACACAACACTACAGCATGGGCAGACTCTGTCTACGAGCTACTATTTATGCTGGCACGAATAGTACACATCAAAAGCTTGTAGGAGGTAGCTAATCCGCAAAGTTTGATAATAAGCGGCAGTGGTTTTGTTTTCGAGCTAGAAACATTTTATTAGAAGCTTCAATTCTTTGATAAATGAAACTTATAATAATTGCGCGAGCAGGACATGCTTGATATTCCACAACATAACAAGAGCAAAATTATCGAGCCGTTGTTTTTATTATCCTACATCGATGGAATATTTATTTATTCAACAGTAAGAGATTAATTAATTGCTTCTGTTGTGATTATGAATGTATTCATACAATCAAAGGCACGAAAGTGAAGATTGACATCTCGATTCTTTGAGTTGCTGTATTTTGTTGAAACACTCATGATAGGAGAATGTTATAAAAAAGACATGCGCATCGCATCGTTTTGGCACTTGCTGGCCATCGGTCGGGCTATTAATACATACGTGTTGCAAATGCAATTCTGGGTGACGGTGTCACCACGGTCCATAAATATCCGTTGCCCTATCTATCATTTAGTCGCACTATGACTCATTGCAATTTCATGCATTGGATGACGTTCAAATGCTTCTTTAGACAGCCAAGTAATGCTTGGACGTTCCCATGGGGCAGTCACTGCACAAAAAACATTGCGATGTCTCAATGAATTATGGTGAAATTGACATCAACCATTTAAATGCGAATTCATTT